AGGTAATATTTATCGTATCTTTTTGGATTTATTACCTTTATTGTACTGCCCTTAGTTGGTAGTATGTAATATTTCTCCATTATTTTGAGTTTATTACCTTTGTCGTACCACCCTTAGTTGGTAGTAGGTAACATTTCTCCGTCATTTTGGGTTTATTACGTTTGTCATACCACCCTTAGTTGGTAGTAGATGATATTTCTCCATCCTTTTGATTTTATTACCTTTGTCGTACTACCCTTAGTTGGTAGTAGGAAATATTTCTCTTTCCTTTCGAGCTTATTACCTTTTTCGTACTGTCTGTTAGTTAGTAGTAGGTAATAGAGGTTATTATCCATTCGGATTGGTTACCTCGTCATAGCTACCACTCAGTTGGTAGTTGGTAATATTTCTTTTTTATTGTGTTATTTTCACTACCAAGCGTCTGGTAGTGGATAATCTTTTCCCCAACAGAGATTTCTTTTCCCTATTGGAAGTTTGTATCCCCTTTATCTTTTCGTTTCCTATTCCATTTGTTATTTCGTCTCTTGTGGTGCTATATTCTCCATAGAGGTCTTGTGTTTGTATACCATTAGCATAATCATATCATTTTATGGTCTCTTAGGGCCAAAATTTGGGTTTTTTGTATTTAAGTCTCTTTTATCTTGTCGAGAGAAAGATGTCAATCTTCATATCTCCGGATAGAAGAAACTTAAATAGGGGCAGCTGTAATACCCTAATTTTTACCCATAAGATCCCACATATCATTTGCATCTTTGATTCACAAACATGATCACAAACTTTGGTTCTTCTACCCTTCTCTGTGGCTTTGCTTCTGAGAGAGATCACCAAGCACCCATGTGTTTGTTACTTGCTTTATTCTTTTTTATGTTTACTAACCCTTGATTTAAATACCAAAAATATGTTTTGTTTCTGTTGTTAAATAGGTAAGGAAGACGTCAAGGATATCAAGCTTAGTTCCTCAGCACTATTCAGGCTCATTTTGATCAGGAACATCCCAAGGTTTAATAAATTGACTCTCAAGAAAGTCAAAAGGTTCATGTGCTTATTTCCATGTCTTTTTTGACAAGTAAACCTCAAGCCAAGACCAGAGGAATGTAGCAAAAGGCCAATTTTCACTGTTTTCACTAATGTAATCGATTAAAACTATTGGTGTAACCGATTACACCTTCTTCAAAAGGCGCAGATTTAAACTTTTCAAGCATGTAATCGATTAACACTATACCTGTAATCAATTACACCCTGGAAGAATGGCCAAAATATGTAGCTTTTCAGTCCTGCAACATTTGACTTTTGTTTGCATTTGCATTGATTCACTCTTACATCATGTGGAATATTCTAGATCAGGAAAATCACACAAATAGAAACTACATATTATTCCTCTACTTCATCATGATCAATTCCACCATACACCCTCATTTCCATACCCATTTTAATTCAATTGATTTTTTGATTTAAATTCCAAACCAACTTCCAAGCCTCATTGAGCTCCAAACCTATTCTCTATTTAAACAAATTCCTCCCATTCCAAGAGGTTCCCAATCATTCTCTTCCATTATTTTTTCTTAATTTTCTACTCATCAATTCTCATTCTCTCTCAGTTTTTGAATTCTTCACTCAGTGTCTCATTTTTTCATCTTCCCCAACCATTACTAAAGCTCTTTTCATTGAAAGTTAACAAGCTTTTCATTTAAGTTTGTTAATCTTTGAGCTAAACCTCCATCAAAACACTTTTTCTTCATAAAATTCTATTGAATCTAAGATATGAAGATCATTCTTTGAAGTTGATTTTGAAGCAAATTCAGATTTGGTTGGTAATTCTTGAATCAACATTGTTTAAGCTTAATTTTCATCTCTCATCATGTAATCTCTTGTGATTTGTGGGTTTCTTGATCTTTTTGATTGCATTCGTGTTTATTTGATGTTAATTGTGGTGATTTTCGTGCTTGATTGTTCACATTATCATTCGGTGTTTGAATGCACAAGAGATTAGGGAAAAATGCTTTTGAGAACTCTGTTTCTGCTGCTATTGCAGGTGTAATCGATTAACACAATTGGTGTAATTGATTACACTCCCTTGTTGCGCCTATGGATGTGTTGTTTTTCATGTTGTAATTGATTAACACCTTGGGTGTAATCAATTACACCTGTGCTGATGACATTAATTAGCTTGTTTTTGGGACTGTTTTGGTTCCTTTTCCTCTTTCTTCCCTTTTTCTTTTCACTTTACATTAGATCGTGGCTTTGTTGATCAAATTTCTCTTCAATTTCCATGGACTTTGTGTGTTTGATGAAGTTGGATAAATCTTCATTAATTGAAATCTATCTTTAAGTGAATAATTTGATTCATTTTAGGTGCTTTGAATTAGTGATAGGTTTAGTACTTTAATCCACCAAGAAGAGTGGTGGAAATTGAAGATGGAATGATCTAAATGATGTGATTCAATTTGGTCCTTATTCTTCCCCTTTTTTTTTTCTTTTCTTTTGGTCAATGAGAATCTTAAACATCATGAAGCTTATTTCAAGTTCTTGATTAAGATGAGACCACTACCTCTTTTCTTTTAGTGTGGCAAGCTTTAGGAAAGTGACTTATATGTCACTTATCTAGCTTGTATTAGCATAAAAATCATTATTGACCGGCGTCCCATAGTATGACCTTCTTCATAGGTTGTGCTACGATTGCTTAACATAGCGCTACATTTTGTCCTGAATCAGAAGCAAGTCATTTTTGTAAGTGAGATTGTTAGTCTCATACTCTCCGTAGTGTGGTGTGAAATAGATTATCTCTTTGTCATTTAAGGGAGATAGTGACATACTTATCGATTTTATCCAAGTTGGAGCCCTTCTGTTAATGATGTATAAATTCACGTTTTCATGCTTATGGATGAATAGTCGAGTGTTCTCTGAAAAATGACAAAATATTATCCATTATTAATATTAACCTCATTTACTATATTGTTGCACTAACTTTACTTTGTGCCATTTTATTTTTGCTATTTATTTTCTTGTCATTTACTTTTATGTTTTTATTTTAGCATTCTTATATCATATTATCATCTTGTTTTTCTCTTTGTCCACTTGGACCTCTCTTTATGTTTATGCTCTTTTTGGTTTAGTCAACTTGGACATTCTTTATTTAAGACATTAATAAATATCAAAACACTTAAAAAACTCGGTTCTCTTAATCTTGGACTGTTATGACCTTGTGATTGGACTTGGACTTTGAACTTAGATCTAGGATCCTTGCCCTATGCTCTTGGAGATTTGAGACCTTGGACTTTTGTGTTGCCTTTGTCTGTTTTTTGGGAAATTTTTTTGTGTGCAGGTGTTGATACTTTGACATTGTGAAAATCATCTAATGTATGACTCTCCGATTTGGCTTTTAACCCTTGGGAAGACCTTGCTTTGACTTTGATATGGCTTAACTTGGGACTCCCTAAGATGCTTTAATTCATCTGATTATTATGCTTGTGGCTTAAATTCAAATGAGAAAAGGAATTCTTATGTTGACTTGTTGTCAAGTGTTTTCTCCTTGTGTGGTTAGATCTTTCTTTATCCTTAGTTTTTATGTTTATGCTTTAGAATAGCCACTTCATCTCCTCCCTTTCTTCAATTTTGAAAATCTTCTCTCTTTTTCAAAATCTTATTATTTTCAAACTAGAACCTCTTTCACAATAAACCTTGACTTTTGTCAAGTGCTTTTTTTTCCAAACTTCTTTTACTTTAATAAATGTCAATCAACTTTAAACATACTTTGACTAATTTCAAAAAGACTTAAAAAATACCAAAACTCATTCAATCATTTTGTGATTTTTTCACCCAAATAACCAAGTTTCTACACTATAATTTCCAATCTACCCAACTTTCCAATATATTATCCAATCTACCCTAGTTTTGTATTTTTTTTATTTTTTTTACAAGGGGGCACCATGGGGGTTGGAGCCTCCCTTATAATTTGTATGGGGGCGCCATGGGGTTGGAGCCACCCTACAAATTATAAAGGGGGCGCCATACCCATTGGAGCCTCCCTTAAACGACTTAAAGGGGGGCGCCATCCCCTATGGAGCTCCCTTTATACGAAAATAATTTTTAAAATATATTATAATTAATATAATTAAAATATTATATTATGGTTTTCCAAATTTTTTTTTATAAATAGGTAGACATGTTGCTAACATTGTTTTATCCAAATTTAGAAGAGTGAGTCATGTTCCTTAGAAGATATGGGCATGTAATTTTTTCACCGACGAAGCCTCCGATAAGGATGTTGTTTTGGAACATTCAGAGTTTAGAACAACTACGAAGAAATTTGAATCAGTGGCTAGAAGGAGACATTCCAAATGGTGAAAGAATTAGGAGTATTGAAAGACTTGTCTCGTACTTCTCTGTTGAAGACGGAAACATACGGCGTGACTGGGTGCGAATTAGAGATGACAACGAAGTTAGATCTATGATGTTCGGAACTGATGATATTACTTTGATTGTTGTTATATCTTAGGTTATGTTGTAATAATCGTTGTATTTTAATGATTTGCGTTTTATGCTGTAGAAGTAATTCAATTCGTTTTTGTGGTAATGAAAAGTTGATATAAATATTAAATTGCACGATTACACAAATTTTAAAGACCAAATTAAATCTACCTAGAACTTGTTCCAACATTTGGACAGTTTTTCCTCGTATGCCCGGGAAGACGACATATTCCGCACAATCTTTCCATTTTCTCAGTTGTATCCATTTCAGTTGTAATTCGGGTGCTTTTGGGGCGGCCCTTTTTGTTTCTTCTCATATTTTCATTGTGGTAGATTGTGTCTCCATGATAGGTTGGCCAGTAGTCCTCACTAGCTACCACTGGAAAACTGCTACTGTAGATACCGAATAAGTTCACGACCTTGTAAACTTCTGATAGCTGCAAGAATGGATCCTGACGAGCAATTGAACATGCGGCAATGACATGTGAACAAGGCATGCGGAAGGTTTGAAACTTTCCGCAGTCGCACCAATTTTAATGAAGTTCCACCCTGTAGTGTCCCATTGGCCGACCCTCGTTGTGATCCATTGTCTCATCAACAATGAAGCTGTAATCGTGACGATCAAATGGTCTAACTCGATGTGAGGCCGCCTTAGAAGTTTCATCCCTCATATACTTCATGCTTGATTCGCTGAATATTTGCCCTGATTGCAGTACAACGTTCCATTTTTTTCCTCTTGCTGCAAATAGTGACCCCAATCTGTAATACGTTGCCCTTACCAACGCTGTGATGGGGAGGTTCCTAGTTCCCTTAAATACGCCGTTTAGGGATTCTACAAGATTTGTGGTCATGTGACCCCATCTACACCCTCCATCAAATGACCTAGTCCATTTCTCGACTGGAATATTATCCACCCACCTTAATGCTTCCACGCTTGACAACCTTATTTCTTCTCGGTAATACATGAACGATGGTTGGTTTAAGGCATATGCAGCGTTCACAACTTTTTTACGGAGGTTTCTGTCTTTAATGTCCCGCATAAAATTCTGAGCAATGTGTCTTATGCAGAAGACATGGACAGAATGAGGGTTGTGCCAACCATTAGCAGGATTGTTGTAGGCGCTCACAATAGAAGCATGTCTGTCAGAAATCAGACATAAGTTGGGTTGTGGTGCGACATGTGTTCTGAGATTTTTGAGGAAGAAACTCCAAGCTTCTCCTGTCTCACCCTCGACCAGGGCAAAGGCAATCGAAAATATATTATTATTTCCGTCTTGTGCTACCGCCATCAACAATGTTCCTTTGTATTTTCCATACAACCATGTTCCATCGACTTGTATAACTGGTTTGCAGAATGCAAAACCTTTGATACATGGTTGAAATGCCCAAAAGAGACGAGAAAATATCCTACTTCCAGCAACACATGTTCCTTCAGGAGTGTATCCTGGTAGTGACTCCAATATTACAACCGTACCAGGAACATATTTCTGAAGTGCTAGTAGATACTGTGGAAGTTGATGGTAAGAATGCTCCCAATTCCCATATACATGTTCCACCGCTTTTATTCTACCTATCCAAGCTTTCCTATACGATGGGGTATAGTTGAACCGTGGGGGATGGAGCCCCTATGACACGTGTAAAATAAGTAACTTTATGCATGCATGCAGTAAGACAAGTGTACGAATTCATCTATCAATATTTCTACACATCAATCTCTTTTTTACACAAATTCAACTATCTCATTAATATCAATAAATATTACAACTACACAAATTAAATTTTTACCTATACAACCATAAATTCAAATTTCAAATTTCAAATTTCAAATTTCTAAATTTCAACTATAAATACTTCTCCTCTTCATTCTAAAAAACACATCAAATATATTCAACAATTCAAATTCTCCCAATATTTTCCACATATATTCACACTATAGAAGTCATGTCTCTGTTAACAATGGGTGAAACGCATCGAGGAACACCAAGCAACATCGCGTCGTATGTAAGTATTTCTACTTGATAATTCACAATGTTGTATTTATTTGTAGCATTATAATGCATTTACAATGTTCTAATGATATGTTTTATTATTTTTTGTAACAAATACAATGTTCTAATGATATGTTTTATTTTTTTTGTAGGATACTCATGAATTTCGTACTCGTGGGCATAAATATTTCCCACATGATCCGTTGATTCAACCTTTTTTGGAGCGAGCAGGTTTTGGAGAGGTCGTTAAGATAACAAATTATCTCATTGATTCTAAGTTTATTTTGGCTTTGCAAGAAAGGTGGCGACCCGAGACGCACACATTTCATCTTCCAATAGGTGAATGTGCAGTTACACTCGAGGACACATACATGTTATTGGGTTTACCCATTCATGGTAAGGCGGTTAACGGTAAAACCAATCCTACCGGTAATTTCATAGGAGAACTCTTGGGGGTTGAACCAACCCCACGAGATTTGAGGGGACAAAAACTTTTAATGTCATGGCTCAAAAAAATTTATAGAGACTTGACATTAACCCCTGATTCTCCTAAAATTCTAAAAATTAGAAAAACCCGAATTTATATAATGCTATTAATAGGGTTATTTTTATGTCCGGATACAAGTGGAAGCGCCGTTCACTCTATGTACTTACCTTTATTAGATGACGTAGATAAAATAAAAACATATAGTTGGGGGTCCGCTACACTAGCGCACCTATATCGGTCTTTATGTCATAACTCAATAGCCAATACCGGAAATTGGACTGGATGTGGTGTTCTTCTACAATCTTGGGGTTGGTCAAGAATGACCAATCTAGCACCTATCCAACAAAATCAGTTTGAATTCCCATTCGCTAAAAGGTAATTATTTTTTCCAATTCTCATTTATCTATCAAAGTGGTTTTATTTATTAATCATATTATTAATAAATTTTATTGTTTTCGATTTGTAGGTGGTCTTTGCTTGGAATGAATTATGACAATTGTCCCCACTTCAGTATAACGCAGTACCAAAATCTTATTGATCACTTGGCGCAAGAAGATGTAAACTCACTCACCTACCTATTTATGTTATACTCTCCTTCAATATTATTAGAAAATACTAAACATTATTTTTTTCATCCTTCAGTTCATTTGGCGGTCGTATCTTGGTCTAGAAGCATTTCATCAAGTTGAACAACAAGAGTCTGCGGTGTGGAGTGCAAAGGTGCCCATTATCAACTTCACCACCGTCGAAATGCACAACAGTGATCGTGTGAAACTTCAATTTGGAATGCTTTAAGATATTCCATGTCCCCCAAAGTGCATAACCGACAAATATCACAACGGTAAAGTCTCCGACCAATGGGAATATAATCCGTGGACCAAGTATGCAAAACACGAGTGTCGTGAATGGAGGCATCGCAACAACTATGTTTTGTCCGACAATGTGTTTCCATACGAGATGAAACAATCTATACAATACATGACTTGGTAATAGTCTGTATCAATTGGTTTCATTTCACATCCAAGGTATCTTAATGACCCACGCCAACAAGATTCATCATCAAGGCCCCAACAACCAACCCAGCCCTATTTCCAACCGCCAACCCAACCTCATTGCCAACCATCAACCCAATACTATTTCCAACCGCCAACCCAACCCCATTTCCAACCGCCACTCACACAATCACAACCATATGAACATACTCCTAACCAATTCACTCCATTCACACAAACTCATTCACAATCCGAATACCAACAACATCCACCACAATACCACACATACTCCTAGTTTCAAACACCCAATCAACCCATACCCACCCAAACCTTTACACCCATCTCACCCTACGATCAGGCAGGTTATCGTCCTGACATTGCCTCATCCAGCCAACCACCCCAAAATAATTATGAAGGCATGGGCAACCCTTTTAATTTGGATGACTTTACGGATATGGACTCTTCATGGGCCGAAGTGATGCAAATGCTTGATGATGACACAATGGATCCGACTCCACCACAAAGACCACCAAGAAACGTACGTAATCGAGGATGCGGTACGGGCGGACATTTAAATCGACCGAGTCGTAGAAATTAGTGTACAAGATCTTTCAAATGTAGCCATTTGTATGTGATTAAATTTATTTAATCCAATTTAATTTTTATTTGTTGTTTGGAATTTATTAATGAAAATATTAATTATTATTTATTTATAAATTGTTAAAAATATGAAACATTAAAAATATTAAAATATACATTGTTAAAAATTATTCAGAAATTATTATTTTTAAAATTTTTTTAAATTATTAAAAATTATTTATTAAATATTTTTAAACTAATTAAACATTAAAAATAAATTTTAAATTTCGTTTAAGGGAGGCTCCAATGGGTATGGCGCCCCCTTTATAATTTGTAGGGTGGCTCCAACCCCCATGGCGCCCCCATACAAATTATAAGGGAGGCTCCAACCCCCATGGCGCCCCCTTGTAAAAAAAAAATACAAAACTAGGGTAGATTGGATAATATATTGGAAAGTTGGGTAGATTGGAAATTATAGTGTAGAAACTTGGTTATTTGGGTGAAAAAATCTCATTTTGTGCCTTTGTGCACTTTTTCTTTTAAATATTTTCATAAAGTTTAGACATGAGTCATTTTCATAGTTGAGATGTAATCCTCATATTCCCTATAGTATTTAAGATGTTGACATTTTCCACTTAGATTTTGAGTGATAGACTTGTTTATTTTTATCCAAGCAAAAATCTTCCATCTTAAGATGATGCAAATGTTGTTTTCTTATACTTGTAGGTGACTAGTCATAGTTTTCTCCTTAAAATGACGACTTGTCTTTTCATTTAAAATGAATCATAACAAATCATTTTATTTATACCATGAACTACGAGGTTTTGATTATATATTTCACTTTGTGGGTACGTAGACATGAGGCTCAAGAAGTCTCTCCAAACACAAAAATCTTAAAAAACAATTTCTTCTCTCATCTCCCCAATCTCATTTCAAGCAAACATTTGAAACCAAAAAGCGTAGATAGTTCAAAGGGTTCTGTTGCAGGGAGAATTAGATATCAAGCTATTACATTAACTTGAATCATAAAATATTGAATGTTCACCAACGAACTTTAATTTATCCAAAGGAAAGGGAAAATATCGAATAAAATCCTATTTTTCAATGTAACAACAATACAAAGAGATCTAAAGGTTTGGGGGGTTGGTTATACTAAGGGAAGGTATTAGCACCCTAAGTATCTATAATATCTTATAGGAACCTCTTGAAAGTATTTGTGTTATGTTAATTTCCTTGCTAATGTTTAGAAATGTTCTATTTTTGGGTTTTATGAGATAGGGAACCTAAGGTAGTTTATTACTAGTGCTCGCCAAGACTTCGCAATCTTATGCCTACGTATCCTAACAAGGATGGAATCAAAGCACTCGTAGTTCACCTAACTACAGGTGAAGAACACTTAATAATGATCAAGGTTCTAAAGGGGAAGGTAAATGTTTATAACAATAACACTTACATGACTTAACAAAGTCAAAGAGTTGAAAGGTTAATGACTTGACAAAGTCAAAAGGGGTAGATGAGAGAATGATATACTACCTATGACATAAAGTCAACAAAATAGATCTTTCCTTTGGATTTGGGCAACAAAAGAGAAGAAAGAGGAGAAAGAGGAGGAGAGAGCTAACAAGCTAGCAACACTAAGGGATGAATTTACAAAGTCAAAAATGAATCATGAGTATGGGTGATAATGGATAAGATGAACAAGAATTATATTCAAACATGACATGAAAGTAAACAACATATGGCAAAGTATAGAATTCAAACATGATATCCATGAAAGTAAACAAAACATAAATGATAAAAGTGAT